GAATTCGGAAATGCAAAGTTGGTGATTCTTCTCAATCTGGAGTAGTAGTGGGTGGCTGAGGTTTTGCACTTAAGATTTTCCAGCAGGTAGTCATCGAGGAGTTGAAAGGTAAATACGGTCTGGCAAGACTTGTAGGTGGATGGGTACAACCCAACATGGAACAACTGTATGTCCTCGGCTGCTGCCCCCGAACATCCACAGAAGACGACGAGGTCTTTATCATGCCCCACTGATTCCTGCCGGATTCTGGTCATTCCTGCGGAATCCAGCAGAATCCGGAGGAATCAAATTTGGCAGAGACACCAGCCAAAAAGACATTCTGGGGGACAAATATTCCTCAGGAATGATGTCATTCCTGATTAGTAGCCAGAATGGTCCCCGGAATGGACAAAAAGGAATGCAACCGGAATGCAATGTCCGGAATATACATTACTAATCAATAATATTAATAAACATTAATATACCCATGCCCAAATCGAGTCTCGGCAAATGCCGAGGCTCGATTTCACATCATCAAACAATCCACAACGTTTGTTTCAAACCACCACCATCGTCGTCGACAACATCCGGGCACACCACGCCACCACCAGCCACAACCGTCGCCATCACCGCCCACTGAGGACGACGATGGACGACGACGGATGACGAGGACACCAACACGTCAGCGGACAACATGTCAGCAGACGACACGTCAGCGGACGACGAGGACGGCCACACGTCAATGGACGACGACCACGTCAACGGACGACGAGGCGACAACTACACATCAACGGACAACAACCATGTCAACGGAGGATGGCCACGTCAACTGACGGCCACGACCCACGACGTAGAGCACCCACCCCATTGGCGAAGACAACGACAACGACGAGTGCATACGACGACACGACAACGACGCAACACAACGGCGACGCGACGCCACGACGACGACGCGCGCCCACATCGTCGAGCGCCCACGTTGTCGACAACGCAACACGTTGACGACAACGTGACACGACAACAACATGCACCCACGTTGTCGAGCCTTCCTTCCCTTTTCCTCCCTTTCCTGTCCCCCCTTTCTCTCCCCCTTCCTTGTCCATCTCCTCTCCCTTTTCT